GCGCCAAGCGCGTCTGGCTGGCGGGGCGAAAGGCTGACGACGGCAAGCGCTTCTGCACGCTGCAGATCGTCGCGCGCGCGAGCAACGGCGACGCCTCGATGCCGCGGCACGGGCAGCCCAAGCTGTGCGTGATCTTTCGCGGCCAGGGCAAGCAGATCTCGCAGAATGAGCGAGATGCGCGCCACTCCGACGTGCAGGTGCGCTTCCAGCCGAAGGCGTGGGCTGACGACCAGCTCTGCGAGGACTTCGCGGACGTGGAGATGCGCGAGGCGACGGCGGCCGCACGCGCCGCGGGCGAGCGGAGCGTCGCCATCTTCGACAACCTCTCCGGCCAGACGACGCCCGAGCACCTGCGCAACCTGCAGCGCCGCGCCCACTGCGACCGCCACCTGCTGCCGACTGGCTCGACGGGCGAGCTGATGCTCATCGACGGCGGCATCGGCGTCCGCCTCAAGAACCTGATGGGCGACGAGATGGACACGTGGCTCGAGCAGCCGGGCCACCTCGAGCGCTGGACCAAGGGCCCCAAGGAGGGTGGCCTCAAGGCGTGGCAGAAGCGTTCGCTCATCACGCAGATCGCGGGCCGAGCGTGGGAGACGCTCTGCGCCACGTATGACTTCGAGAAGTCGGCGCGCAGCCTCGGCCTGCTCATGACTGTCGACGGCTCCGGCGACGAGCACATCTGCGTGCAGGGGGTGACGGACTACACCTTCAAGGACGAGGACGGCGGATCGGACGGCGGGGAGAGCGAGGCGGACGAGGACGAGGCGGAGCTCGCCGATGTCGACGAGGCGGCGGGCGAGGAGGAGGGCGAGGAGGAGGGCGAGGAGGAGGCGGAGGACGGCACTGGAGGACTCAGAGGACGAGGACGAGGACGACACCGCCGTGCGCATGCAGGCATGCGGCGAGGCTCCGGCCATGCCCCCGAAGGGCTACGTCTATGCGGCGACGTGCCCGCCGCTGGCGAACGACGACGAGCAGCGCGCGCTGTGCCGGCGCAAGATCCTCGCCGCGCACCTCCTCGACGGCGCCACCGGCTGGTACGTTGGCACCGTGCAGCACTTCGGCGTGGGCTCCTCGTGGCGTCAGCCTGACGCGACGCACATCGTCATGTACTCCCAGAAAGAGACCGGCACCAAGCACCTCGCGGGCCGTGTCGCGTGCAAGCTAGCCGCCGACAACTATGGCGCGAGCGAGTGGTGGCTCCTGCTGGAGCCGGCGCCAGAGAGCTGAGCATGAGGGACTTGACGTGTTGCGTCACTGTTCACGCGAAGACACAACCCCGGGCCCAAGACTCACACTGTTCACGCTATACAGAGGGTGAAAATTGCGTTTCACCCTGACTGTACACTGACAAGAAAGTGAAAGAACGACCTCTCTCTAAAAAGTCGTATGATTTCTAAAATTTTCTTCGCGCCTGCGGCGCGGCAGATCAGAGAAATCGGGCCGGCCTCGTGCCAGCAGCCGATTTCTATTTCGGCCAGGGAAATCAGCCAAATTTCCAGCAGCCAATTTCTAAACACCGATTTCTAAGGCAAGAGCACGCACTGTAGTCGCCGACCACACCCACAAAGAACCCTACACAAAGACCGCAGGGCGGGGACCTGTTCCTTTTTACCCATCTCCTAGTAGAGGTGTCCGTTTTTATTTATTTATTTGTGGTGGGCCGCTGACTTTTTTGCAGACGACGAGTTTTCACGTTAGTTTGAAGTAGAAGTACACGGCCCGCAAACAAAGATCGGGGCGTCGCCACCGTCCCCGACTATTTGGTCCACGGTACACAGACGCTTGCAGCGCCACCTCAGTCCGGGACGCATTGCACGCAGCCCGCCCGCCCGCCCGATAAATTACGGCGCGGCGTCGTGTCACGGACAGCCCCCGCCCCTACCCCCCGCCCTGCCCTGCCCAACAGACTCCCGCCCACTAAGGCCCACCCACCATCACAGAAGAGACGACCGATCATGTGCATGTGACATGGCATGCCTTACCCAGCCCTCAAGGGCCGCGTGGCATGCTCCGCGGTGCGCAGCTCAGGCGGTGGCGGTGGCCGGGATCTTTCCCGTGCGGACGTTGTACGCCTTGAACTGGCGCGTGAGGAAGAGGCGGCCCTCGTGGAAGAGCGTCAGCGATATGATGCCCTTGAAGATGCCGATGCCCTGGCCGCGGAAGATGCCGCTGAGGCCAAACTTGGCCATGTCGGCACCGAGCTCGCGCACAGCCTGACCGCGTCACGGGGGGGGGGGGGGGAGGGGGGGTGACCGTGCAAGGGAAGACTGCCGCT